TAGGGACCACATAGAGAGATCACAGAGAGATGCCTGAGAGGCCCCAGCCATTCTAGCCACCAGCTGCTTGACTCTTCCCAGCTCAAACAGCAGATGTGTGAGCTATTCTTTGAGATTATAATGCTAGTCCCAGCTTGTCTGACCACAGCTGCATGACACCCAGAGCAAGAGCTGCTTTGCCCAGTTCAGTCACCTCCAGATTCATGAGCAAAATAAATGGCTGTGATTGTTTTAAGCCACTGTTTTGGTGGTTTGTTATACAGCAACAGATAACGGGAATAGTTGTCAACACAGAGCACTGTTAATTAAAAACAAACAAAACAAAACCCCCAAAACCTTTTATTGCCATTCTGGTAAGCAAAAATTACTATTATTACTATTTAAATGTATTGTTTTTTTTGACTATCTGAGGCGGAAAATCTTTGAATCTTAGAATTGATAATAATTGGTTTATATGGGTTTCTGGATTGTTGACAGTTTGAATTCTTTGCCAAAACATATAATGTGAATATTTCTGACAATTTGTAGTTTGTCTTTTTTATGGTGTGTTGTCCCCCCATATGGTTGTTTTACATTTTTTTTTAATGTAGAAAAATCTCTCAAGTCTTTTCATCAAGTTTCCTGGTTTTGATGCCATGCTATCCTAAGTATAAAAATATATACAGGAATTTTCTACTATATAGTTAAATTTCTTACATTTAAACCCTTGTCTTTTTTTTTGAGTTGGAGTCTCACTCCGTTGCCCAGGCTGGAGTGCAGTGACACGCTCACAGCCACCCCAGTGTTGACCTGCTGATCCTTCTGCCTCAGCCTTCCAAGTAACCAAAACTACATGCACACGCTACCACGTCTGGCTAATTTTTTGATTTACTGTAGAAATAAGGTCTCACCACTGTGCCCAGGCTGGTCTCAACCCCGTGGGCACAGGCAATCCTCTAGCTTTGGCCTCCCAAAGTGCCGGGATTACAGGCTTGAGGCATTGGGCCCGGCCTTTATTTTTTTGAGTTGTGGTCTTATTCTGTCGCTCAGGCTGTAGTGGCAGTGGCATGATCACGGCTCACGGTAGCCCTGACATTCTGGGCTCAGGTGATCCCAAGTAACTGGAACTATACGTGTGAGCCAACATGCCTGGCTATTTTTTTTTTTTTTTGTATAGACAAAGTCTCACTATGCTGTCTAGGCTAGTCTTGAACCCCAGGTTCAAGTGATCCTACCACCTCAATCTCCCAAAGTGCTAGGATTATATACATGAGTTACCATGCCTGGCCTAAATCTTAATCTTTTAAGAATGTCTTTTGGACTGTAATTTATTGATTACAGATGGCCATGCCTGTAATCCCAGCACTTTGAGAGGTTGAGGTAAGAGAATTGCCTGAGCCCAGGGGTACGAGACCAACCTGGGCAACTTGGCGAGACCTTGTCTCTACAATAAATAAAAAAATTAGCCAAGTGTGGTGGTGCATGCCTGTAGTTCTATCTACTTGGAAGGCTGAGATGGAAGGATCACCTGAGCCCAGCAGGTTGAGGCTGTGGTGACTGTCAGTGTACCACTGCACTACAGCCTGGCTGACAAAGTGAGACTCAGACTTAAAAAAAAAATTATTCTGATTTAAGATTTGAGGCAAAGGCATAACTTCATTCTCTATCCCACCTTCTAAGTCTAGCAGTTATACTATACACTTATTAAATAATCTGCCTCTCCTTTACTAATTTGAAAGCTTATCTTTCTCTTTTGATAAATTTCCATCTATACCTGAATTTGTGTCTATCTAGACTATCTATTATTATTTTCTCTGTACCTAGTCCAGTTCTACTTCCATACTACTTTATTAAAAATATTGTCAAGAAAGAAAGCTTTGGTTAAATGTTTTCCTTAGGGAAGAAAGCTCAGAATATAAACCATTCTGTAGAAAACTTGGGATTTGGACATATAGAATTTTAATTTCATAACTGAACAAGTGCCTTTCTTTTTTTTTTTTTTGAGTTGGAGTCTCACTCTGTCGCCCAGACTGGAGTGCAGTGGCCGCTCCCGGCCACCGCAGCCTCGACCTGCTGGGCTCCGGCGATTCTTCCGCCTCAGCCTTCTGAGTAGCCGGAATTACAGGTGCGCGCTACCACGTCTGGCTGATTTTTTGATTTATTGTAGAGATGAGGTCTTGCTGCCCAGGCGGGTCTCGAACCCGCGGGCTTAGGCAATCCACTCACCTCAGCCTCCCAAAGGCGTGGGATTACAGGCTGAGCCACCGAGCCCGGCTACAAGTGCCTTTCTTATACTACCACTTCATATTTTAAAAAAATCTTAAATTATTTTAATTTCATAGTTTGACACAACAAAAAAACTAACAGCACCTCATTAGCTGAAAATATTTTAGTCATGTCAGTTTAAATAGGTGAATACCATAAAAAGTATAATGGATTTTCATATTTATAAGCCTGTTTTCATTTTCCCAACTGGAATATAATTCTTAACCAATTCTAAGATATAATTATAAATAAATTGCTGATAAAAGACTCAGATTATTTGGTCTAAATTAGCAAAATATAATATATACAGTAGACTCCATAATCAAAATCAATATACCTATTATTTATTTATTTATTTATTGAGCTGGAGTCTCACTCTGTGGTCCAGGTTGGAGGGCAGTTGCACGCTCACAGCCACCCCAGTGTTGACCTGCTGGGTTCTGGATCCTTCCGCCTCAGTCCTCCAAGTAGCTGGAACCACAGGTGCATGCCATCACGTCCAGTTAATTTTTTGATGTATTGTAGAGACAATGTCTTGCCAAGTTGCCTGGACTGGTCTCGAAGCCACGAGCTCAGGCAATCCACTTGGCTTGGCCTCCCAAAGTGCTGGGATTATAGGCTGAGCCACCGAGCCCGGCCCAATATACTTATTTTTTATTTTTTTATTTTTTTGAGTTGGAGTCTCACTCTGTCACCCAGACTGGAGTGCAGTGGCCTCTCCCAGCCACCGCAGCCTCAACTTGCTGGGCTCCGGCAATCCTTCTGCCTCAGCCTTCCAAGTAGCTGGAACTACAGGTGCGCTATCACGCCCAGCTAATTTTTGATTGTAGAGATGAGGTCTCACCGAGTTGCCCAGGCGGATCTCGAACCCGCGGGCTCAGGCAATCCACTCACCTCAGCCTCCCAAAGGCACGGGATTACAGGCTGAGCCACCGAGCCCGGCTCCAATATACTTATTTTAAAATGTATATTAAGAAATGCCTATATTAGAGACTACTTTTACATTATTAATGTATTAATAAGGCTGATGGCGCAAAATTCAATGGGTCTTTTCTCTATAAGTCATCACTACCTTAATCAATGGCCAATGATTGCTTATGAATTGTTATATCATGGTCAACAACTTGTAAAGTTATTCATTCTTGGAAATAAGTTCACTATTTTTCCTTTTTAAGAAGGCGATGTTATTTTATTTTTCAAATTGGTTTTAATTATAAAGGATGACTTTCAATCTCCCTCAAAAGGAAACTATCTCCTTTTGTCTCAGCCTTCCAAGTATCTGGAACTACAGATGCATGCTACCACGCCTGGCTAATTTTTTGTGATTTATTGTAGAGACAAGATCTCACCAAGTTGCCCAGGCTGGTCTCCAACATCCCGGGCTCAGGCAATCCTCTCACCTTGGCCTCCCAAAGTGTTGGGATTATAGGCTGAGCCACTGCATCCAGCCAAGAAAACTATTTTTAGCAAAAGATCAAAGAGCTCTGATTTTATGAACCTAACATGTTAATAAGGAATTCCCTGAATATCATAGCTCTCAGCCTTGCCTTGAATTAAAACTTTCTTGTAAAATATCTTTTTTTTTTTTTTTGAGTCATATTTTCACTCTGTCACCCAGGCTGGAAGACAGTAGCATGCTTACAGTTACTGCAGCCTCAATCTGCTAGGCTTAGGTGATTCTTTCGCCTCAGCCTTCCAAGTAGCTGGAACTACAGCACATGCCACCACGCCCAGCTAATTGTTTGATTTATTATAGAGACGGGGTCTTGCCATATTGCCCAGGCTACTCTCAAACCCCAGCTTGGGCTCAGGCAATTCTCTCACCTTTACTTCCCAAAGTGTTGAGATTACAGACGTAAGCCACCATGCCCAGCTTAAAACATCTTATATGATACAATAACTAAGGAACTATGTCTTACTAATGCATATATTTCTAAGAGCATGATAGCTTATTAGAATATATTAAATATGACATGCTCATAATTTATACTAGAATATGTCTACAAGTTTGCTCTTGAATTAGAATATGTAATTTCAACACATTTTCCATAGGAGTATTCCTATTTTCAAATTGAGTCATCTTTCCACACCTGCCTAAAACTTTTTATCTGCTGAGTCAATATCCTTTTTTGTCCACAGCATTTACAGTAAAGAGTGTGCAACTGTAGAATTTCTTAGATGTCAACACATAGGTTGAGTAGAAAGAGTATTGACAACAAGTTAGTACTGGTGCTGGTGATGAGGAGATGGCAACCACACCCACAGCAAAAGGCAAGCACTAACTTATTATTTTTTTTCTTTGAGTCAGAGTCTCATTCTGTTGCCCAGGCTGGAGTGCAATGGCAAGCTCCTGGCCACCGCCACCTCGACCTGCTGGGCTCAAGTGATCCTTCCACCTCAGTCTTCCAAGCAGTTGGAACTACAGTCATGCGACACCATACTGGGCTAACTTTTTTATTTATTGTAGAGACAAAGTCTCACCAAGTTACCCAGGTTGGTCTCGAGTCCCTGGACTCAGGCAATCCTCTCGCCTTGGCTTTTCAAAGTGTTGGGACTATAGGCTTGAGCCATATGTCCGGCCACACTAACTTTATATAGAGAAAATGTAGAGAAGTAGAAATAGAGTTAAATATAAAATTAAATTAAAAGTAAATTTTGTCTACCCAAATTCAGACAATTCCATGTATTATTTTAGAATCCATCTTGACCCACAGCCCAATTATGAAAGAACCACATATTAAAACAAACAAGCACACCTGCTGATTCACTGGGGGCTGGCTTACTTCTCTTCTTCACTTCAGGGAGAGGTTGATATGATCTTTGTCCCACAGGTTCATCACCTTGGATAGCTGTTAAGTCATGCATACTGAAACTTCTTAAACGTTCAGTTATTGCTCCTTGGCTCTATTTAACAGAGAAGAGAGAATTAAGAAAAAAAGTACTTGAAAATACTTAACATACTTCCATTTAACTATTTCTGAACATTTTATTTTATTTTTTTGAGTTGGAGTCTCACTCTGTCACCCAGACTGGAGTGCAATGGCCGCTCCCAGCCACCGCAGCCCCGACCTGCTGGGCTCTGGCGATCCTTCCGCCTCAGCCTTTCGAGTAGCCGGAACTACAGGTATGCGCTACCATGCCAGGCTAATTTTTGATTTGTTGTAGAGATGAGGTCTCGTCAAGTTGCCCAGGCGGGTCTTGAACCCGAGGGCTCAGGCAATCCACTCACCTTGGCCTCCCAAAGTGCTGGGATTACAGGCTGAGCCACCGAGCCCGGCCTATTTCTGAACATTTTATTAAGAAATTTTCAGAAAAGTTGAAATAATTGTTCAGGGAACACCCATGTATTGTTTACATTTTGCTATATTTGCTTCTTTTACCGATTATCCATCCATCAATCCATTTTCTTTTTTGTTTGTTTGTTTTTGAGTTGGAGTCTTACTCTGTCACCCAGGCACAGGAGTGCAGTGGCACGCTCATGGTCACCGTAGCCTCAACCGGCTGGGCTCAGGCAATCTTTTCGTATCAGCCTTCCAAGTAGCTGGAATGACAGGTATGTGCCACCACACTCAGCTAATTTTTTGATTTATTGTAGAGATGGGGTCTCGCTGTGTTTTTCAGGCTGGTCTCGAACCCCTGAGCTCAGGCAATCCTCCCACCTCGGCTTTCCAAAGTGCTGGGATTACAGGTGTGAGCCACTGTGCCCGGCTTTCTTTTTCCAAATGCATTTCAAAGTAAGTTGAAAACATCAGTATGCACTTCACCCCAAACATTTCAGTATTATATTTAATTTTAAAATGGGAAAAAAAAGTGTATGATGAATTTATTCTTAGAGTAAACAGCATGCATAATTTTGCTCTCTCCTAAAACTAGCACTTTTGGACTTTTTTTTTTGAGTTGGAGTCTCACTCTTGTCGACCAGGCTGGAGTGCAGTGACATGCTAATGGTCACTGCAGCCTCGACCTGTTGGGTTCAGGAGATCCTTCTGCCTCAGTTTTCTAAGTAGCTGAAACTATAGGAGCAAGCCACCATGCCCGGCTAGTTTTTGTGATTTATTATAGAGACAAGCTCTCACCAAGTTGCCTAGGCTGGTCTTGAATTCCCAGGCTCAGGTAATTCTCTCGCCTTGGCCTCCCAAAGTGCTTGGATTATAGGCTGAGCCACCATGTCTGGACACTTTTGGGCTTTAAATTTATGATTTAGGGTAACTTTTTGAAGTAAAAGAAACATGACACTGTTTTAAAGCTAAGTCAGGACTGACGATGGCACTACCTAGAACAAGGCAGACAAATTTTTTTTTTTTAATTGTAGAGACGAGGTCTCACCATGTTGCCCAGGCTGATCTCAAACACGCAGGCTCAGGCAGTCCTCTCGCCTTGGCCTCCCAAAGTGCTGGGATTACAGGCTTGAGCCACTGCGCCCAGCAAGGCAGAAACATTTTTTTTTTTTTTTTTGAGTTGGAGTCTCACTCTGTCGTCCAGACTGGAGTGCAGTGGCACACTTCCTGCCACTGCAGCCTCGACCTGCTGGGCTCCAGCGATCCTTCTGCCTCAGCCTTCTGAGTAGCCGGAGTTACAGGCGCGCGCTACCACGCCCGGCTAATTTTTGATATATATTGTAGAGACGAGGTCTCGCCAAGTTGCAGGCTTAGGCAATCCACTCACCTCGAACTCCCAAAGTGCTGGATTACAGGCTGAGCCACCGAGCCCGGCCGGCAGAAAAACTTAAAAGCCAAAGAATCTTGGATATGAAATGATACTCAGTTAATGAATTCATATCTGGCAAGTCATATCTACTGTTATACAATTTCATTTTAAGTCCTTCACCTTAACAATATGGCAGACAACAGGCACGGATAGGTATCTAAATTGAAATTAGTTAAAATTAAATAAAATAAAAAATTTAGTTCTTTAATTGTGCTACTACATTTCGAATGTTTAGTAGCTGGATGTGGCTAGTGGCTACTATATCATATAGTGCAGGTGTAGAACACTTCTATCATTGCAGCTCTGAAAGATACATTTTCTGTACTTTACAGAATAAGTACATTTCCTCCCCAAAGTATGAAGCTTTGTAAAAACAGAAAAAAAAATTCTAAATTTACCTACTTTAAATTTGCATAGCTTATAGATGACTCATTCCTTATTTATAGCTAGATTAAAAATATTCTTTAAAGGTTTTTCTACACTTATTATTTCTTCTTTTCACACATATGAATTTATGATTGCCTCCAGTTATACTGTTACCATAGAAACTCACCCCTAATGGTTCATCTCTAAATTTCAAGGTCAAAGTTGCCACAAACATTCGGGAATTACTGCTAACTTGTATTTTACACTGAAGAAGAAGGTCCTGATTTATGAGTCTTGATTCAGTACTCTGGGCTAATCATATCATATTATGTCAAGACTAAATTCCTTTTCCATAACCCACTGGAGCTTTATATTTCTATCATATTTTTAAAATTGTGATAAGGAATCATTAAAGGGTCTATAATCTCAATAAAAATAATTGAATTTCACACATTTTAAAAACATTCTGGGCATGGTTTAATTCATTAAACTTGCTTTCTCTTTATCAGATATCACTTATTAAACAGATGGCTGACAGAAGACTTTAGAGACACACTACAAGGAAGTGGACTAGTGTTCATCTAAAATAGATGCCTTGTTTTCTTAAAATTGTCATTTTCTTTATTCTACCTTTGCAGTTCTGTGTCCTCTCAGCAATTCTTGATTGTTTTACTTACTGCCACACAGATGACAAATGGCATGCATGTCCATGGTTCACATGCAATTGCCAAGGCTGGCTGTAAATTCACAAACCCTCACACTCAAGAAAGTACATTTCAGAACATAATGACTCAATGTGTTATTTAATCAGTCTAATTTTATAATTATATCATCCACAACCTTGGGTATCTTTAACAAGTATAATCAATGAATTTCCTAGGATGTACCTCACAAATGAACTCACATACTACTGTTACTTTTATTGTTGTGCTATGTATATTTTTCTTACAGAGCAAGAATTTAAGACACCAGAGGAAAGGGACAAATCTTAGGCTTCTTCTGTTCTCCTAGTGTACCTAGTATGGTACTGATAGTAAGCATGTAATAAGTATACTAAATACTCTTTTTATACCCCTTCTTTTTCATTATTCTTTACTAGTAAGAATTTACTAGTAAAGATTTTATTAGTAAAGATAGCAGCAGCATGTTTTAATATAAACATTGTAATTTATACACAGAGGTTTAGCAGCACAATATAGATATGGTCATGGTATCTCCATGGATAAACTACACCAAGAGATTGCTTCAGGTTTAGATTAAACGTGGGCAAGACTCAACTCTGAGGTATCTGGGTAATCTAGTTACAACCTGGATTTTAATTTAGCTCTTGTGTAACCAACCCTCTTATTATCAATACCCAAGCATTATCAATACCTTCAAGGCTTCCAGGAAAGCCGGGCACTGTAGGTAAAACCAAAAAGGGACATGAGCCCTCTTTGAGAACCCCTCTTGCAAGACCTTAAATGATGGTCTTACAAGATCGGGTGTCTGGTGTGCAGGCATATATTTTTATGGGCCCAAAATAAAACTAGCATGAAAAGAGAAATTAGCATAGTATTACAGACTTCAAAAACATTATATAAATTATAATTATTCAATGTAACCACTTTAAGCAAGAGGTGTAATTATAAAATAATCACTTCTGAAGGTCAGGCTATTCCCTCCAGCTTTTACACCTTCAGTACAAAAAAGTGCCATATAATGTTAAGTGGATATATCTTCCTTCTACCCTAGGATTCTAAATCATATGCATAATATGGTTGCAAATATGCAGTATAGTTATAAGTAGGGAGGGAAAATATGCAAAACTAAAAATAATGTAATGTTTAGACACATGGGATGGGTGATGTTTTTTCCCTAACAATGTCTTTAATATTACAAAGTTAGTCATTGATGGTTTAGGCTTCAATTGTAATAACATGTACACTCTAAGAATTTCTGATCCTTTTTTCACTCGTTTCCTGTATCTGATACTTTACTCCCACCAACAGAAGAAAAAATTGGCTTTTCTATTTTCAGGGCACAAATAGGGCATTATAATCACTTGTCAATTCTTTGTGAGTGTATGTGTGTAGGCGTCTCACTCTTTTATTTTTATTTTTAATTTTTTTGAGTTGGAGTCTCACTCTGTCGCCCAGACTGGAGTGCAGTAGCCGCTCCCGGCCACCACAGCCTCGACCTGCTGGGCTCCAGCGATCCTTCCGCCTCAGCCTTCCAAGTAGCTGGAACTATAGGTGCGCGCTACCACGCCCGGCTAGTTTTTTGATTTATTGTAGAAATGAGGTCACACCAAGTTGCCCAGGCGGGTCTCGAACACGCGGGCTCAGGCAATCCACTCACCTCAGCCTCCCAAAGGTGCGGGATTACAGGCTGAGCAGCTGAGCCCGGTTGGCGTCTCACTCTTATCTCCCAGACTGGAGTGCAGTGGCATGCTCACGGCCACTACTGCCTCGACCTGCTGTGCTCAGGTGATCCTTCTATCTCAGTCTTCCAAGTAGCTGGAACTACAGACGCACACCACCACACCCAGTTTTTTTTGTGATTTACTGTAGAGATGAGGTCTCATCAAGTTGCCCAGGCTGGTCTTCACCCCCGGGCTCAATCTTCTCACCTCAGCCTCCCAAAGTGTAGATTACAGGCTGAGCCACCATGCCTGGCCTCAATTGTCAATTCTAATGGTATTTGAACTTTTGTTTAAGTTAATAATGTGTTGTATATCTATTTTCTTCTATTTGATTTATACAATGTTAAGTCAAAAGTATTAAAAAAAGCTGAGGAAAGGTTCTCGTCCAATCTTCTATATGAAAACAGTCTTTGTCCACAAGGAAGAA